TAAATCAATGTTAAACCCCGAAAAAGTTTTTTGAACCTCTGATTTTGATTGATAACGCGTCTAACCCATCTTCCCACAGTATTATATTAATCAAATTTTATTACATTAGCTTGAAAAGCATCTCCATGTCTCTAGTGTTTGTTATGCGATAGTGCGTTGCTATGGTGTTACACGTGATCCCGTTACCAAAGACTATATGCTAGTGTTAAATAGAATGAGTTACGATTTGCGTGAACATATCGATAAATATCACGCAACGATCACGTGGTCAGACATAAATCGTATGTGTGAAAACATCACCGCCGGACTTACCTTCCTTCACACAGAAGGACTAGTGCACCGTGATCTGCACCCTGGTAATATCCTGCGGGGAAGGCTTAATAATCACTGGTATATTGCTGATCTCGGATTTACTATATCCCCAGATCGGACAACAAATGAGGTTATTGGGATTCTTCCATATATTGCACCCGAAGTCTTATCTAAAAGAGAATATTCGACAAAGTCAGATATTTATGCTTTTGGAATGCTGCTATATTACGTAACAACTTTTAAACCACCATTCGCAGGAGTAGCACATGATAATGCCTTGCAACTCGAGATCTTTAGAGGAACTCGCCCAATTATTCCGGATGGAATTCCAAACCGATACGAGGGGCTAATACGACGTTGTTGGGATACAGATCTTAATAGAAGACCCAGAGCAGTTGTCATTTCTGTTTATTTTTCTAGAATCCAACAAGATGGTCTAGATGGTCTTGTACTTCAAAATGCTCTTGCAAGGACGGGTAGTGAGATTTCGACCGTAACTAGTGGGATTTCGAGTACAGCTTTGATGTCTATATGTGATACGGGTGATTCCTCTGGTGCTTCTTGTGCTATCGATTTTTCAATTGACATTACATAGTAAGATCCACCAAAAGCTTACCCACTCATTGTTTATAAACTATTCTTATATACTTATATTAATAGTAAAGTTTAAATGGTTGCATATTTTCAAGTGACATTAAAATTTTATCAATTAACGAAATACAGTACAGTATCATTATTTTAACGATAAAGCCATTACTTTCTTTGATTTGGGCTTAATAAATTTGTATATCACTCTAGAATCTGTTGAATGTCAAGAGAGTGGATCATGTAAATTTTGGAAAATATAAATAAGAAACAATGTAAATTATTATAAATGTGATAGTAATATTGTATCAGTTTATTACTTTTATTTAATATCACGGCCATGATAAATATGATGCAATTTAACATTAAAATTTATTGTGACGGCTGATGCTGAAGTTTGGCTGATGTTGAAGCTAAAAAATCTGATTGGTTAGGGTTAGGGTGATCTGCAAAATTTAGCAAATCAGATTTTTTAGCTTCAACATCAGCCAAACTTCAGCATCAGCCGTAACATTTATTATGAATTAACATATCGGAGATCCTATATACTGTATAATGCTAATAAATCGATAAAGTAAAAAATCATGAGCGAAATTTAAATTTATAACTTCAGTTGCTAAAGATAATATATAAAAGAATAAACTCCAATATATTATACAATTTATCTACAAGTAGTTCCGAATCTTTGGATTATCAAATTCCTATCCACATTACGGCGAATTTATGAAATACCCCAAAATTTGAAATTTTTGACCGCTAAGTAAACAATAATGATTTTTGATCTAATAAGATACGTCAAAAGTGGGAAGATGGGTTAGACGCGTTATCAATCAAAATCAGAGGTTCAAAAAACTTTTTCGGGGTTTAACATTGATTTATTTGTCATTTGGTAACTAAAGTTTAAAATTGGGAACAAATACTCAGATTTAATGACCGAATTTTAGCTTAATTTCATAAACTCGCCGTAATGAACCTTATACACATTTTCCGAATGCTAAATATTAGACAGATCGTTTATTTATTTTTTGCTATTATCGTTATATTAATTAACCAGATCATTCATTATATAATTATATATTAGTGTTTGTACTCGGTCAAAAAAATGTTACTCGGTTAACCGGCGAGTAAACCCATGGGTTATTCGGGTAATCAACAGATATACCCAGCATAGAAGGCTTTTAATTTAATTAACCACGAATCCGAATTGGAAAAATATGTGTTTCATTTTATAAACTATCAAAGCAATTTGGTAATCCGCAAAGTAATTCGGAAGTTAGATGAGAAGTATGTTGGAATATTCCAAATACTTGGAAAAACCGTAATAATAGTTTCTGACTGTAAAATAAATATTACGTTTATTAAGTTTATTCGAAATAAATAAAATGATTTGAATTTTTGGTGCTCTATACTCGTCACGTGATGTTTGAAACTTCCATACAGTCACATCCTTTTATAATTTATAAAACTAGCTTATATAAAACAAAAAATTTAACCTTTATAAAAAGCACGAAATTTCCTGGAACCAAGGGCGTGACTGTGCGAGGTTAGACTGAAACACATTGCCTAGGCCATGATCGATAAGGATCGACAAAATACCCATATGTTTCCTGTTTCCTTGATAATTAACCAATCAAATTCCATTATTTCTTTCATTACTACTAGAAGCGAAGATACTTCATATTACAGTAGTGTATTTAGCTAGAAGACTTTGTCCAAATTATTTCACGCTTTATTTGAAAAGCAAAAATCTTATAAATACAAAATAACCAGATACGTAATATGGTTTCTGTATGTTGATGCTTGTAGTATCATTGTTGATTAACTTTTCACCATCATAACTTATGCACATTTTTTGTCAGATTACATAAATATTTAAGTTTTATTATCAATATTTACAACAATCTAAATACAGGTATGATGACTCTTAATCATATTCATACAAATAGGTAACCACATTACTATATGAACTATATGAACCATCATAAGTTCAATATTCTTACATTTTATTCATTCTCATATTCATTTTCATCAACCTTTAACCTTTTAATGTCAGAATCACGATCCTGATTACAATCTCTCATCTTGTCCATTACACTTTTCAAGTCAAAATTCACAACACCTTTTCTCTCAATAGTAAAATAAAGAGTTTTTCGTGCGCCGATGGGTGACTTTTCGACTCTTATTTTTCTGAGATTTCTTGGAACATCAGGATTTACGAGCATTACAACAGGATTAATGTCGCAATAATCCATCATCAATCTCGTGTTTACTGCGTGTGACCATGTGTTCCCTAGTGCTGGTTTTATACTTGAATCCTGATCTATAAATAATATATATACAAAAAATAAATAAAGAGAATGTCTAAAATAATAATTAATATTGTAATAGATACCATTTGTAAGATCTGTTAATGCATCTCGAATATTATTCAATGAAATTACTTGATTTGTCACGACTGTCGGCATATTGAATGATTCGGATAAGAATCTATTAAATATTCATTGAGATAAAATAATTCAATAAAAATTGATTTTATACACATGATGAAAATACTATTGATTACTTACTTTAGCCATGCAGCAAATTTAACTAGTAATCGACTTCTTTTGTCTAAGGAATCTTTTTTACCAATAAATTCCTTTTTTATAAGAGCTCCAAATGAATCGATTATCAGCAATCTAATATTTTTCTCGATGATGAATTCTTGAAAGTTCTCTAATCTATCAAAAATAAATATCCAGGAATCCATTTTATTATAAGGAAATAATAAAATAAATTTCAACCGAAAATAAAAATTTATATATATATATATATTTTTTTTTTTACATATTTGCCAACTCCTTTGAGGATTTGGCTTTCATCAAATGAACTGCATCTGTCATTTTTTTAAGATTATCCTGGCATTGTGAATTTTCATCGCCGAAAATATATGGGAACCTATACTTTGCGATTTCCATTAACCTATAGATCTTAAAATGAGAATTGTGTATAAAATAATTCATGATTTGAAATATAAAAAAAAAGATATTAAAGATACCTTTCCGCGGGGAAAGCACCTTGGGTACTTATATAACATGTTCCTCCGCCAAGACCATTCATACAAACAGGCAATGTGGCAAGAATTGATAGTGTAAGGCAAAATTGTGTTTTGCCGAAATTTGTGGGTCCTACAATTTCTGTTAAGGACGAGCATGGTATACCTCCGCCTAATGCTATATCTAGTTCAGGCAATGACGTTGACATGAAAGGTTCTTTGGTTTCCTTACAAGAATTGTTCAATAGATCTAGTGCCTAGAAAAGGAATCACTATTAGAAAAAACAATTTGTTAGAGATTAATATAGATGTAAATACTAAAAGACTCACAGTGCAATTTTTTGGTGCTATCCATTTTGCACATTTCTTTTGTGTTTTTTTTGTGAACTCTGGTTCCCAATCGCAACGTCTTCCTAAAATTCTCTCGTCCGTAATCAGTAAATTTTGAGTTGTTCGTATTGGATTTCGAGGCAAAGAAGCTAGTTTTGAGAGCTGGCTTTGTTCAATAGATAAATGAAGTGGAAGACGCGAAAGTTTACGATCTGAATACATGGTCGTAAACTACCGTGTATATTCGTGTATTTTTGTGTTAGTCAACCAATCGGAATTTATATCAGATGTTATCTTTGCGCGAGATAATTACGTCATTTTTACATTTTTCTCATATAAGTATCTTGCACAAGTCGCGTCATATGACTCGCGTGAGATACAGTCACCGGCGAAAGTGACGTTTGATACAAATTTTGTTAATGCAAAATTATTTTTCCAAGTTAGGCCGTACAAACTTTAATAAATTGGTTCTCATAACCCAGCCGGGTCAAATTTCGCAAAATTCTTAAAAAAAGTTTTGACTATATTTGCTATCCGGGTGAAGTTTTTTTAGAAGTCTATAAAAAGTTTTATATGCTTTTTTATATATAAAATTTTTGGAAAATAAAATTAAAGGCCGGGTTGCCGGGTCATTTTTCAAATTTTATGTTATGAGAACCAAAAAAGATTAACTTTGTATGGCCTTAATTTTGACTTTACGAATATTATTTCACCAAAAAAGCAAAATATCAGTATGGTATGGGTGACCAGAATTGGGAGTAGGATTATCTCTTCGTGCGTTAAATAGGTGCAGACAATACAATATTTTTAAAGAATATTGTTAAATATCGCAGGTTGCTATATCGCAGGTTAATATAGATCACAGGATCTTGCGTAACAAAAATTAAAATTTTAAATATCTCGAACTTTCATTATGTAAACTAGTCTTGAGCTTTTAATTAAAAGTTTTTAACATTTAATTTTGCATATCAGATATACTGTATATATGCCTTCTAACTTTTATCCTAATGCTAACTCGAACCCTAACCCTAACTAATAATAATTTAATGTTTTTTTTTAAATATTAACCTGTAATATCTCAACCTATTAAATTTATCAAACATCTTTTTTTTTTTTCCCTTTGGCAACCTTGCCATTGATTCTTTATTAAGATTATTATATAAATAGATTACATAATGTTGAGCTTAATATTTAGGCCCAACATCTCTTGACTATCTCTATAGATGTCCAAAAGTGGTCTGTCACATTAGATAGTTTTATAGTCTCTGCTTAGAAGGTTTTACCAAATTGTCTCGGAAGTTTCGTAGACCTTGAAGAGGTTTTGGTTTAGTTTTGATAAGTCAAGTTTATCTAAATACTCTTCTGCTATGCTATTATCTAATTTTACTCTATCTAATCTTAATTCTATTTGGTTATCTAAAATATCTTTCTTTTATAAAAATACTATACTATCTATTTCTAAACTAATTTTTTTTTTTTTTTTTCCAGTTTACTTTATATTTTTTCACAAGTAACTTGACTCTTAACCCTTCAATGCTTTTCTCTTCTTCTCCTTTATCTTCTTTATTAGTTGTTAATAGTTTTCTATTCTGTAATAGAATTTTCTTCTTTACTTTTTTTTTTCTGTTTTTTTAGTTGGTTTTAGTCTTTTTATTTCTTTTTGCTTGGATTAGAAATCCTTTCAAATTTACTAAAATCTTTTCTAGAAGTTTTTTTTATGATATTTTCAAATTGTCTTCAATTTGGTTAGCTTCTTTCTTTTCACTATCTATAATTTTTTTCTTCAATATGTCTTGTAGTTAAAGATAACTTCTTGTTAATTTTCCAAAAAGATACTTAAGATTCTCTCTTTTTTTTCTTTTTTGAAAA